CCCCCCCCCCGCTTTCCCCCCCCCCCCCGCCCATTGTCTCCCTGGGCCCATGTGGCCTACCTCCCTGTTGTCTCCCCCTCCCAGCTGGCTGTTGTCTGGGTCCCCTTCCTGCTCCCCTTGCTCGCTGCCACCATGACCCCCTTTTTGCCTTTCCCTGCCTCGCCTTGCCCCTCCCTGCTGGCTGTTCTGGGGGGGTGCCACCACTGTGACCCCTCCCCCCCCACCCGGGAGGCATGGGGAAGCCCTGCTGCTGGGGTGGCTGGGGCATGTTCCCTGCCGCCACAAGCTTCCCCAGCAGCAGCTCAAACTTGGGCCTGTGCAGGCTAGGCTGTGAAGCCAATTGCCTCCTGCCCTCTCGGCAGCACATGTGCATGTAGAAGTGTTACGGAGACAGACTAAGTCCTAGATCATCATCATCATCAACATGAACAACAACGCAGTACATTTTAAGGGGTCAAATATGAAACTTGATACCTGCATTTCCTTCAAGAAATAACTTACTAAGGCAGGCATCAACAACTCTTCTGTCAGAAATGTAAGTACTAGAACTTACCATCAGTTGCTGTACATAAAATAATTACTGTTGTAGTGTCTAGTCCTCAGGACTCAGTTAATAATGAACTAGACTGAAAGCAACATACCCATCTCAAGTACCTTAAACAAACACTCTCACACTTGACAACTCTCCTACAGACAAGTCTGTATAACTGAAATCAGCTTGAACTTGAGACAAGGCTTGTTCAAAAAACAAGATCTCAAAACACACGCTTTATTGTTTCATTCATTGTTTATCAAAATTATTTAAACAAAGGTGACTACTCAGGGTTTATCCACAGACTCATTTTGATCAGACCAACCCCCAGGCACACCAAAACAAAAATCAAACCAAACAAACTGGTGTAGTCTAGCCAGGATTTAGAGATGTCTGTTTGTCTATTTTATTCTGGCTGCAAAGTGATGTTGACAAAAGGTTTTGAATCAGTTATCCACAAAACTACTTCCCTCCCGTCCACTCGCCCTCCCCCCTACCCTTTTTTTTAAATGAAGATAGTGAATCAGGTTTGGGAAGAGAGGTTAGGTTGGGCCAGGATTGAGATGTGGGGGAAGAGATCCACCTCTGACAGCATGAGGAGTTTGTTTTGTTAGAACAGTGTTTTAAAATAAGAAAGTATATGTTATTGTAAGCTGCCCTGAGCATTTGTGTAGTGTAAGTAAAAGTCAAATTTTAAAAGTTAACAATAGCAGTCCCATCCCTTCCCCAGCCTGCTTCGTTTCCCTGTATTTTTTTTTACATGTTTCACATAACCTTTATTTACCACAAAGGTGTCAAACATATAGCCCACAGGCTGGATCTGTCCCACACTGCCCCACCATCCAGCTCCCAGCGCTGTCCTAGATTTTGAGCAGACCCAAAGGGCAGGGAGTGAGGTAGGTCCGCACACTGGATCAGGTTCACAGACCCCTGGCATTCCCAGCATACAGAATACAGCTACTGGCCCAGCTCGTTTAGGACCTGCATGGCACAAAGCCTGGAGGGGCTGGTGTGTGCAGATCCCAAAACTAGAACAGGTGCAGTGCTGCACAATATGCCCACCCTGGCCAGACTGTGCCATACATGATGCCTGCTCCAGGGCTGTGCCACATGTGGTGCCTGCTCCAGCCAGTACAGGACCCATACTGAGGATGGCACATTCCCAGAGTGGACACCATATGTGGTGCAGTCCAGCCAGGGTGGGCACCACATGCAGTGAGGTTCCCATTCCAGGCAGTCTGGGGTCCACACTACATGCCCCCAACCAGACTACACATGCCATTTGTTTCGCAATTCACATCACACGCACCAATGCTCCCAGACTGGCTAGAGCCACTGCCAGATCTGGTATGCTGAGGATGGGGGAGGGAGTCTAGGGGCCTAATCCCACCCATGGACTGGCTCTGGGCCACCCATCTGGGCCAGACAAGTCTGACACACCTGCTTTACCAGAGGTAAACATCATCCATCCCAAAGTCACCTGGCTAACATAACCAGGGACAAGGGATGGAAGTCGCAAGCATCTTTCTTCATGACGAACTCAAACATCTTATCTGCAATTATTTTCTTGGGAGGATAATGTACCATGATTTAAGTTTTCTTATGGCTTATTGAAAGAAAAATCTCATCTTCAGAAAGGAAAAAGAGAATCTCTGCACCAGTTACATACGGTCATTAGAAAACTGGTTTGGTTACTACGCATTGGCTACCCCCAAATTTTCCACCCAGTTATGATTCTATCTTCCTATCCGGAGATAAAGCTTTAAAAAAAAAAAAAAGTTTAAGGAAATGATGGCAATAAAATGGACTTTATTCATAAGCCTCACCTACTAAGCAAATACTTCTTTCCAAAAAACACAATTACTTTGTTTGAATAGACTAGAGTCACAAGACGAGATCAGTTCAGATATATTCTTAAATCTTACAGTTTGCTACATTTAGAATTAAAATTAAGTGACTGGCTACAAAATAAAACAAACCCCCCCCCCCCACATCATTACACATTTGTTGGTCTTTGTCAAGGACCGATTAACAAAATAAAAGCTATAAAACATTTTGTAAGCGTTTACTTTCAGATATTTTAGTCTTAAGTTACTTGTGGCACTAGCAAGACTTTCTGACAAGTAGATGTTGCTTTAAAAATAGCTGCTTTTCTCGAGGGTTTATAAACCATGTAGTTGCTTTGCTTCCAGAGATTCTCTGAAAAATCTCTCTCCAATCATACTTGCCACTGTTATTACATCAGATTACCACAGCGTACTATGCCAAATTCATAATGGTCACGCTTAGAAGACCAAGCTTAGAGAACTACAGAATTATTCAGGAACAAGACAACTATCACAAGCTTTTTCTTGATTGAAAACATTTTGAACGCAACTGAATAGCAGTTTTATAAGTGGACTTGTAAGACAGGATTGCATGCTTCCTGAACGCACCACTTAAGTCAGACATCCAATCAAGTACTTTGGAATAAAAAGGTGCAACATGACCACAACAATACTTAGATTAGTGCAGGTGCATTGATAGAGATTTTTTGGGCTGATACCAACGGCCGGTTTTTAAGGAGCCGTATCAGCTGATATTGATCTGATTCCAATACGCAGCCAGGCAGCACGAAGATCATCATCCGGCTGGTAAGTCTGGTGTTGGGAAAAGGATGTGGGGAGGGAAGGGGGCAAGATTGAGGCCCCCCATAGTGAAGAAAAGACTGGGGCAGGGTCAGATGCTACCCAGCCAGGGTGGGCCATGGGACAGAGCCACGAGCAGCTCATCCAGGGGGTTGCGGGAAGGGGTGTGCACAAGGTGGGACTGCGGCCCTGGATCTGCGTGGGGCCATGGCTGCAGCCATAGCAAAATTTACCATAGCCCCCCACTGTAGCTATTACCCATCGAGCGCAGCCTGGCCCAACACCCCTGCCGGGAAGAGCCTGGCGCTGGCACCGGCCCCAGCCCACAGCAACAGCCCGCCCCACCCCACATGCAGATCTGGGGGCACATACCACCCCAGGGTGTTCATAGCAGCAGGAGCTGCCTCCCCCCAGCACAAGCTGCTTGCAGGTCCATCCTACGCCCTGCCTTGGCAGCGCCTGCCTGTGCCCCACTCCCTCCCTCACTATGGGGGCCTTGATCTGCCCCCCCCCACATCCTTTCCCCCACAGACTTACCAGCTAATGCTTCTCCCCAAGCCACTAGGCTGTACTATACTAGCTGCATGCATGTTGTGCGCATGTGCAGGGCATTTAGAAAATCGGTCCCATTAGGCAAAATAAAAGCTGGATGTCTGATGCTGTCAATTTTCCCCTATAATTGGTGCTGATCTGATATGGGACCGATCTATGGGTGTACCTCTACACATTAATTCATGTTAGTTAGATCTGAAAGGTGCTTTTGAAAGAAACATGTTCCGGAAACATGATCATTGGCAGAGTTGGCACCCACACAACTTCATCTTGCTAGTGTAAGACATGCCAAAAGCAATAGAGACTAAACATCAATATTACGTAAGGAGATTTGAACTAGACCACATCCAGATGCTTCTCATAATATTAAACTGTTTCCACTCAGATAACCAAATTCATTATGTACACCAAAAGCCTATTTCCCAACCAATTTTCAATTTCCTTTTGAAAAAGAGCACTGATCTGCTACTAAAGTATTGCTAGCACCGTTTTCTCCATTTAAACTGGCAGAGAAAAAACAAAATCACAAGTTGCAGACTTTTGAAACAGATACAAAGCAAAACAGTCTAACACATTAAAAACGATCGGCTAACGGACTGAATAGTACAGCACTGAAGATGGGCACGTGAAAACTCCAGTCTGCTGTGTTGAACACATGGGAACTTGAGCTACACAGGTACATTGACCCTGCAAGATCAAATGCAACTAAGTCTGGGGAAAAATATATTGCAACTAGGTCCCCCCGTCAGCAATTTCTGCAGTTAAAGCTTGCCTCTTATGTTTGTATTTGTTTAAAGGGATTATTTATTCATAAAAAGGTCACAAACAATTGTACATAATTCATCCCCCCCAACCCCAGAATACAAGAGAAGCTATTTGGGGCACTAATGAGAGTACTTCCTTAAATCCAGTATCTGAAAGACCCGACTTTGTTATCAGTCAACTTCACATTCTTCCATACACTGAAAGAACTGCTCTTCTATGTGCAGAGTGTACCTTATGCGTGATGTTTTAAGCACCTGCATCAGTTAACTTTATAATTCAACAACCCTTGCCATTTACAGTTTCCTAGAAAAAGGAAAAATCCTCATGAGCTACAATATAAAATGCTCAGGGCATTCATTTATCAGTTCCTGAAATATCAGGGAGGATTTTCTTCATGCAATTCACAGCCAGAACAGAGCTACCTTCAAGCAGTACCACATTATACTCAACTGCTCTTAAACAGCTGAAGGAAGTCAGAACAAAGAGACTGCATCCTCCAAGCGCACGTTACCAAACCCCTAACAGCAACGCTTCAGGTGCAAAGAGAAGTAGGAAGCTCTAACCACACAGCAATCCTACTGCCATTTCACAAGAAATCTAAACCTAGTGCATTTACCAGTAAGTGTCCTCATCTGATTTTCAGTTTCAAATTATTAAATCAACTGTTTCATAAAAGAATCTAAGAATTCATTAGTCCTTACAGTATTTTACTGTGACATTTTGAGAGTAGGTTACATGATAGAAAAAAGTAACAGTTATTCCCCCCTTCCGCAACCAGTACATGGGAACCAGGTTGTGATCTTTAATGAGATAATGACAACTACAACAAAAAGAGACTCCTAACTGTGCAAGGGGGAGGGGAGAAACCATCAGAAAAAGGAGTTTGTCAGACAGTTTCCTGCCCAGTACAAACACGCAAGTCTTTGAGAGCTTCACATCTCTCAGTTTTACACAGCCCGGTTCCTTTTTAAGCTTAAGGAACAAAAATATGAGCAGTCACAATGATGTAATGCCTGATTTCCCCCCCCCCCCCGCTTTGCGCAGCTCAGGGTTAGTTTTCCCTCTTACTTGCCACCAGGATCTTTCCTTCACGGGTTTTAGCGAAGTTTAAGGAAGACAGCTGCAGGCTGCAAGGGGGGCCGGGGGGGGGAAAGCAGCAAAGCAATGGAAAAGCCCGCTATGAAGAAAGCTACAGATTCATAGATGTGAGGGTGGAAAGGGACCTCAGTAGGACTCATCTCCCACAGGCTCCCTCCTGCCTCGCGCACGTCAGTACTACAGGCTGAGCAGAAAGAAGCGCAGCTCTAATGCACGCGCTGCTCCGCTGGTACCGAACGGTGCGTACGACGCGACGCAACCGCACGTTACACTCGCAGGGGCTCGTCGCGCTTCGAGCAGCGACCCAGTCGCATTCAACGAGTCTGACGAGGCAAACGAGCGGCCGCAGAATTATTCCACAAAAAGCTGCTGATAAACTTTGTGGCTTGCTCTTATCGCACCCTTAATTGAACATGTGGTGGGGGGGAGGGAGGAGATGTGGGCGCCCAGGCGCCAGGGCAGGGCCAGAGGAACCCAGCCACGGCCTCAGCACGGCCCGTTGCAGAGCTCATCCCGGGAGGTCGAGGCCACGGGGACGGGGACCCAGCACCCTGCTCCCCCCACCCCTTGCTTGCGACGTGGCCCTCCCCCACCCTCTCCAAATATGCCCCCTCCCCTCCACCTGCTCCC